GCAAGCCGTTGACGCCACTACTGTATGTCGTGCCGCCATCGCTAGATCTGTGGAACGCCGTCGCCGCTGAAGGGTTTAGCATCCTAGAAGGGTTGTTTGGTGATCCTCCTTTCGATTTGGGTTTGGGTTCGGTGTAGAATGGCGTATCAATCGGTTGTCATTCTCTTAACTCTTATAATTTCGAATCTCTCTCGGACAGTACCGATTATTGTTCAAGATTGGAAGCTCCTTTTGTTCTTACAAAATTAGAGTTGAAATACCATTGAACAGAAATCTTGGCTCTAGGATTATTGTCATTCTGATTATGATTTGTGTTGATTTTGTTGTATGTCTATTGTCTATATCAATCTCTCTCGCAGATGTGTTAATCTTACAAGTGGATATAGGTATTTTATAGATTGAACTAGTGTAAATTTTGTGTCTTTATTCTTTATTTTGATATTGTTCATTGCTGAAATTTATTAGGTAAATTTTCCTTTCTTAATCACCTCTAAAATTGGCTTAAAGATTCTGTTTAACCCCTATTTTAAAAGCTAAACGATTCTGTAAATTTATTAAAATTCAAAACACGCAATATAATGAAAGTAGAAAGGGAATGAGGGAAAAGCCTTCCCTTTCACCCATGTGACAATTCAACAATAAAACTAGAGTCCTGCTAAAGGTTTTTTTTGTCCATCCAAATGCAAAATATAATTTACATCACACAGTATATATATTAATTTATTAGTCTGAATAGTGAGGTCACCAAAATATATGAAGAATAATCGAAGACACAATTTAAGTCATATAAAAGTCGCTCTTCCTAATTCTAARATACATTTCCAAAACTATGCTTATTCTTCCCAATCTGAATCAACTGTAAAAGAACAATACATCCAACACACTAGGAAAAAACTGCACACACCGAACAAACAACACAACAACAACAACAAAAAAATCCCTGAATAAAGACTAATCAAAACAATTGACAAGAATCAACTACTGTGTCACAACAAATTTGCAATAACGATTATAAATATTCTATCATCTACGACCCGTTTCCTCATCTTCTAACTGCCTCTCGTGTGTCTGATCATGATCATCAACATYACTTTTGGGTAAGAAACCCGCGGCAAAGAAACGAAAATAGAAGAAATTCAAGGTCCCAATCACAGCAACCACGTAGAAGAAGTATTCAAGCCGGTTGTGATTAAGATCATTACCACCGATCCATGCAGTTTTTTTCCCGTCAATTGTAGTGCTTATTTTGCTGATGATTCCCACAAGAACCGAGCTGAGATAGCTGGCCAACGACAAGCTCAAGAAAAATATAGCTCCGGCCACCGTCCTCAGGCTCTCCGGCAAGTGTGTCGTGAGAAGCTCCATCACAGCAATGGCAGCAAAGGCTTCCGTCAGGCCCGACAAGGCGAATTCCGGTAYGAGCGCCGTAACATGCAGCCGCGCAACAAATGAGCCATTGCCAACCGCCAAGTCGCGGCGGAGCTTCTCGGTAATGCCGGACACGACCATGCAAACAACTGACATGACGATCCCGATCTCGATCCTCCGCTGCATTGAGATTCTCTTGTTCTGTCCGGTCTTCCGTTTCATCATTGCCACATACTTCTCGTAGACAAAAATCCAGATGGAGAGCGCAATCATGGGCGTGAGGTTCATCCATGCCGGCGGGATTTCGAAATGCCGCCCTAGAAATCTGTCCATTTGAATGGCTTGCAAAACCCCAAACGACCCCATTTGCTGCATTGCGATGAAACACGAAATTCCGGCCACCCAAACGGGGACGATCCCTATAACGCATTTGAGCTGCTCCACTTGTTGGACGCTGCACAATCTCCAGTGGCTGACGGAATTCCCGTGCTCGTCCAATTCGGCGACGGGATCAACGACGGTGGCTGCCTTATCAAACACTAAGAACCTGTTCGTGTGAGGAAGCTTGGTGGAATCCGGAATTGTGGGAGGTGGGTCGTGTAAGTTATTTTGGTTATTGGGTTTGGAGAGTTTGGACTTGCGACACGTGGCGATGATTACTTTCGCCATATCAGCAAAGACGCTCCCTTGTGGGGTCTTTCGGATGTAAGTGCCGCGACCGAGGAGGAAGATCAAAATAGAGAGGACGAAGCAGGCAGTGGGAATGGCGAAGCCGGTGACCCAGCTGATGTTGGTTTGGATGTAGACGACCACGGTTAGGGCCACGATGAGCGCGATGGAGAAGAGGAAGTACCACCAGTTTAAGAAGCTTTCGAGCTTGGCTCGGCCCTTGTAGGTCGTGGTGTCGAACTGGTCGGCACCGAARGAGATGTTGCAGGGTCTTATTCCGCCGGCTCCGATCACTAGTAATCCAAGGCCGAGGTAGAGGAAGGCGAGTTGCCAAGGCTGCGGCTGTGGGCACTTAGCTTGGCTGTGGCTGCAGCTGGGAGGCCTTAGCTCAGGAAGACCAGCGCCTAGGGTCAACACTCCCATGCCCTATTATTAACATATTGGAATATTCAAAACCACGTGGAAAAAGTTCATTATTATCGGAACATTATACTCCTTTTTATTTATATAATAAACAAAAACAAATTGATCCCACGTCATTTTTAATACGATGATAATGTCACAAGCAATGAATGAAATGGTCGACAAAATATGGTATTCTCTAATTCCATAAATTTTGTCCGACCATAACATTACAACAACACGATGCGAATGTCAAAGACACGGTTTTCTTTTTTTTTTCTTTGGAGTACACAAAACCCCTTTGCTTTTTTCACATTTCCCATTTACTCATTCCAACTCTCTCCACTTTGTACTTCTACTTCTACTCCAAATTAACCCAACACGTAATCTTTAAATAATAATTAAAAGCTTATAAAAGTATAAAAATTTAACTATTATAAACTTATAATTTGATATTAAATGGATAGGGTTAAGAACCTGGAGAAAGTTTGATGATTTACTAGAAACGGTAAGACTTGTTAAAAATTTGTGAAGATGGGAACGTACGAAGAAGGATGCGATGGAGCCGAAGAGGAGAGTGTAAAACCTTCCCAAGTAAGCATCGGCAAGAAAAGCTCCGGCGATGGGAGCGAAATTGGTGGTGCCACCCCAGATGTTGATCACATTAGCCGAAGCCACGTTGTCCAAATTGTACATCGTGTGCAAATACAATATCAAATTCGCCACCAAACTCATCGACGCCAATTTCTCAAACGTCTCATTTGCTATTATACAATAATAAACCAAAAACCAAATCACAAACCGAACAAAAACAAAACACAACAAATTTAATTAAATTTATGTATTAATTAATTTACCAAGTATGAATCTCACGGCTCTCCATCCTCCGACGGCTGCTTTTGAAGGAGCAACGGGTGGAGGATCCAAGGAAGAATGATCAATGGCGTCATTCTCCATATATGTTTCCCCTCTTTTCCCTCTATCTCTCATATCTTTTTTTTTTTTTTTCTTGTCTGAAACTTTGCAATGTTGTTTCTTCCTTCGATTTCAACACTCGCTTAGCTGCAGGTGGGTTCCTATTTTTAGGGTCTCTCTCGACAGGATCTCTCAGGCTGCCAAGTAGTAAACGACTCAAATTTTACATAATTAATTTCCCTATTTTACAAAATGATCGAGAAAACATATATGATTGTAGATGAAGGGACTTCTAATAATAGGAATCATCCAGTACACGAGAGACAAAGTCGCCACCGCAAGATCTTTGAAAATTTTGCCCCTTTAAAACCATTGTTTCAGGGACAAAATGAAAACAAAGAGAGAAAAATTTCAACCCAAAATCCATGAGGATTATTCAACGTATAAAATAAATTATTTAAATCGAATGCTTGTTTATAAATGTCTGGGTGGTGTAGTTGGTTATCACGTTAGTCTCACACATTAGAGGGTCTCGGTTCAAACCCGGGCTTAGACATATTTTTAAATGATATTTGTTTTTATGGCGCTTCAGAAGTCAAAAGAAAATTTGGACGACCAGGGGTCAGAACTTGAGAAAATGTCAACGGAGCGACTTTTCCATAATCACGGTGGAATGATTTCAGAAATAATTCGATGTACGTGTGAAATACAAAAATGTTGAGTTTTCAATTCCCACACGCGTTGTTCAATCTCTATTATAAAAGGAAATCCAAACCCTCGAGTTCATGAAAAATTTTGCTTTCTAAAAAGGGAAAATTGATTGAAGATAAATATGGTTGATGCAGCGTTTATTATAATCCCAGTGGTCTTTTTTTCCGTTTGTATTGTTTTCACCGTGTTGAGTTTACTTTGCGGGTTGAGCGTTGGTGGCGGTACCAGCGGAGGCGGCGCTGATTTTGGTGGCGGCGGCGACCACGCAGGAGGAGGCCATGATCTCGAAGATGGAGGTGGCGGCGGTGGAGGTTATGATGGAGGTGGCGGTGGTGGAGATTATGATGGAGGTGGCGGAGGTGGAGGCGGCGGCGGCGGGGGAGGTTGTGATGGAGGCGGTGGCGGCGGCGCCTCTGCTTGTTGACGATCATCTTTTCTTGCAGTGTTGGTCGCGTATATATGTTAGGATTTAGGAATCAATTTCAAACTATTTGTGTTAGTAATTATTTTTATTGAAATAAATTTGTTTGTTTATTATTATTATTCTTTTTTATTGCTTCGTTTTACTTTCCACCAACAATATATCAATCCTTTTATTCTCTCGAATTCTTCGTTAAGGAAGAATTCAATAGAATTTATTATAACATTTTTTCTAAGATTTTAACGGTTTGCCTTGTCTTATCTACACAATAAAATATTCTAATATAAATATAGGTTTTTGTAATGTAATTTTGGGGAGGCCGATCGAATCAGACAATTCATATCGGACCTGACAGATTATGAATAGGAATTATTGACTTGAGCAGCTGAATTAAAGACGGCCTGAGAACCAATAAAAATAAAGAAATCAACTCAATTTGTGAGAGGGGTGAATTATCCATCTCGTGTTGCTTGGGTTATAGAGGTAACTAATTTGGCATTCTCAAGTAAACTTGGGGAGCACACTTGCGTGATGTTTTGGAGCAATATCACTTGCAAGTCGACAAGGTCTGGTCACAGGGAGGGCGCGACCACACTTGGGCCATGTAGGTGTGACGCGACTCTGGGAAGGGGGTGTGGCCAAATATGGATTGTTCATCTTTGCCTCCTCCAATCATATCTCCAACAATAATTCAATTTATTAAGATATATATTAATTTGAATATTTTNAGACGTACTTGAATTAAAAAAAAAAAAAGCATAGGTACAATAATCAAGTATACCTTGCATCAATTTCATTTCCCAAGTAATCATTGGTGCGTTAAAAGCTCACACAATATAGTATAAAAGTGTTAATATGATATATTACTATGTGTGTAAATATTTTTATTCTAAAAAAACTGTGAATGAGACGTTCCTTTCAATTTTGTTTAGAGCTAAAACAGTTTAGTAGAGCTAAAACAGTTTAGTAGAGCTAAAAGAGAGCCAAATTCCATGTGACAAAATTATGTGTGTTTATTAGCTCTAATTATTTTCAGGTCAAATAAAGAAGAGGTGAGATTCCGAATCTAATACTTTTTAAAAAGTTACTAAGGTCTTAATTAGTAGAAAAGTAAATCACGAATATTGTCTTTTATTTGCTGTGAGAGAGTAAGCTTATAAACATTATTGTTTCTTAATTATTTTCTGACTTTTTGAATTCTAAATGTTTGACAGTGATTCATATTTTATGTTTCTCTTTTTAGGAACGCTCTCAAAATTATAAATTTATAAAATTAGTTTCTTGTTTTCTTATTAACATTTCAGTTTTTCAAAATATAAAATAAAAATATTATTTTTTATTTTACTTCTATATTGTTTAATAAATATTTTAAAATTATCTAAAAAAATAAATATAACATTAAATTTTCAATATTTTATTCAAAAAATAATTTTTAATGTAAAAATTTTGTCTTTAATTTGTTTTGATAACAAAAGAAAGAATAATAAATAAAAAAATAATGACTCAACATAATCTAATTTTTTCCCTATAAAAATAGGAAACAAGAAAGAAAGAAAAAAACATTACCAAATAGATCATCAAGTGAGGTTGYAAAGTCGTAGAGTAAACCATTCAAAATTTAAACAATCAAATTCAAAGAATATATACAATTGTAGCATAAAGGGTCCTAATACTATTAATTCAAGTCACAGAAACAAAAATATTATTGCAAGATTTTGTTACATATGTTCGGGTGGTGCRGTTGGTTGTCACACTAGTCTCACACACTAGAGGTCTGCGGTCTGAGCACAGGCTCAGACAATACATTTAAAAAAAAAATAATTTGTGAGTTCTGATCCAATTTAATTYGGTACAAAACTTGATTTTTATTAAAAATTAATAAAGTTTTGAAAAGTTTTTACATTGTCTTTTGTATAATTAATGAATTTACAGAAAGTGAACAAATGTATTAAAATTGCGATATTTATTTAAATCTAAGGTTAAGTTTAGATGAGAATGGATTGGTCTATGATAAAAGCTGAGTTGTTTTTCCTATATAATTTTTTCTTTAAAAGAAAGAGAGAGAGGAAAAAAAAAAGGCTTGAGAATTAGAACGGCGTCTCGGTGGTGTAATTAGTTGCCACGTGGCACGCGCTTAGTCTGCGCTGGAACTGGAAGTTTCCGGTCAAATTTTTTTTTTTCCCTTGTAATTTTTTGTGCGAAAACTTGGAGGAATATATTTTGAGAAGTTGAACACGCATCCTCCAAATAATAATAAATGCCGTTGTTAATTAACGTGTGGAATGCAAATATTTGGAACTTTCAATTTTTAAGCACACACACGTTACCCAATCAAATGTGTGTGTGTGTGGGTGGCGTTCATTATAAAAGGAAAGGAAATCCATATTGCARTGGAAGCTTGAAGTTGATAGCAATTTTTTGGAAAATTTACAAACCAATTTCAACGAAATCTTTCAATTTTTTATTCATTTCATATCAAAAATATGGTTGATGCACCGTTTATTATAATCCCAGTGGTTTTTGGTTGCGTTTTGATCGTTGCCCTTGTTTTGAGTTTGCTTTGCGGTGGGGGCAGAGCTGGTGGCAGATCCGGCGGAGGCGGCGCTCATTTTGGTGGCGCCGCCGGCCACCACGTAGGAGGAGGCCATCATTTCAGAGCTGGAGGACACGTTGGTGGCGGTGGCGCATGTGGCGGCGGTGGCGGTGGGGGCTCTGCCTGTTGATGACCGCCCTTGCAGTGGTAGCGGCATGTATATTATTAGGAATCAATCTCTCCTGTACAAGTGGAGAAAATTAGTAATTAATTTTGCGTAGGTAATTCTTTTAAATTTGTTGAATTTGTGTGTTATCTTATTATTATTAAGGTAAAATACATTTTTAGTTCAAATAGTTTTAAAAGGTCCATAGAATTAAATTTTCGTTAGTTATACAACTAACGGAATTGCTGACGTGACATGGTAAATTATATATTTATTATTTTAAAATTATATGATAATTTTTTTCTATTTTTATCTCATTTTCTCTCTCTTCCTCTTCTTTCCCCCTCTCTTCCCTCTCATTTTCATTTTGTTTTTCCACTACTTTAATCTAGAAAAAACAGAGTTTTCTTTGTAGTCATTCCTGATCAGAAGATCTCAAAGCATAAAATCATTTACATTCGTAATGCCAACATTACGAATGTGAAACTCCAAATCTTGGAACACGCCCATCAATCTCGCCGACAGGTAATTCACACTCCAACTGCACTCTCACCATGGTGCATTGGGCAGCAAAAAATGCTTACCGCAAGTGTACAGGTCAAGTTTTAATAAAAGTGGTAAGTAATTACCGATATCGTCCACTGGATTGGGTTTCTAGTCACTCAAGTACTACGGATATTAATGTCCAATTTTATCTAGAGAAACAATTAGGAATTTCTTTTGACACACAAAAATAAAATAACAAAGCGAATAAGAAACTCTAAAGAAAGCTCTTATGGAGAACGAGTCCAAGGGAAGTGATTTCACCCATTGAACCTACAAGCGGACAAATCAAACATGTCAAGATTGAATATGCAATTAATCTACAAGTCAAGAAATCAAAAATCATAACTGTCTCTCTCGAGCACAATTAATTCTCCCACTTATCAAGAAACCAATATCCTTATCGCGTTTCATTAACAATCAGTGGCTTAAGTCTAAGTCTTTTTAACAACCTCTAAGATAATTCTAAATCTCTCGATCTTAGAACTACCTCAGTAATGCATTCAGGTTCCAATCTAAACCACCTCTCTCGAGCGTAAGATTCAGATTTAGCAACAATTAATCCGTGATCAAGAGAGATTAAAAACATTAAGCAAATAAATGCACAAATAGATTAAAAACAAATCAATCAAGACAAATGTTAATAAATCCAACTCATAAATCCAACGGCTATGTCAAACCCTAGAACAAGAAGATTAGCTACTCATGTTCACGAAAATGTAATAAAATCTCACGAAGAGTTTCATAATAAATCTAGAAAAGATAAGAGAAAGGAGAGAAAGTAAAGTTGTAGTGTCGATTGACCGTCCCCGACTCAATCTCCACGATCACGAGCCTTCGAAAATCGTCTCCTCACCCTTCTTGCCTCAAATCTCGAGCCAATCCTCTCCAAATTCCAATTCTCCCATGTGAGACACCCCCCCCCAAGTCCCCCAAAACGGCGCACTCATATTTCTCTTAAGTTAGGGCATCGCTATAGCGTCATGGCGCCATTAGTGAGCACCATGGCGCTGTCCCAGATTTGTGACAGACGTGCAAGTTCGTAGCGCCATGGTGCTGCAATAGAGCGTTGCGACGCTGTCATCGCGAAAAAAGGCTTAGGCTTCGTCTATAGGGTGCCATGGCGTTGTATACTAACGTCGTGGCATTGCTTCTTCGGGATTTTGCTACAAATTCTGACGTGCAGGCGCCATGGTGCTACATGATGGTGCTGCGGCACTGATGTGGCTTAATTAAACTCCTCTTTTTCGCTCTAGTTTTCCCTCAATTGATTGCTTATGCTCCAACTCTTTCTAATAATTTGATCCTATAAAAACATCAGTTATGCATGTAAATAAGTTATAAATGACCGAAAATTATTAAATAATTTCCACCCGAATATCATTAAATGTGGTGTATAAAGTACACTATCACCACAGTGCCGCCATTACAACCACCACCACTACCGTAGAGGGAAGAGAGAGAGAGGGGGGGAGGAAATAAGGGTCACGACTGGAAAAGGAGAGAGAAGAGAGAGGGGAAACAAGAGGAAGAGAGAGAAAATGAGATAAAAATATAAAAAATATAAAAAAATTATCATATAGTTTAAAAATAATAAATATATAATTTACCATACCACGTCAGCATTCCGTTAGTTTACACTAACGAAAATTTAAATTTAGGGACCTTTAAGAACTATTTTTCAAAGGTTAATGACCAAATTGTCACTTTTTGAAACACAGGGACCAAATTGAAATCTACATTAAAACTTAGGGCCTAAAAGTGTATCTTATCCTATTATTTATTATTTTCAATAAAAAATCTGAATGGTGCTTGTCTTTATTTCTTCACTATGGTGACAAAGAGAACGATTATGACATTTTTTTAGGATTTTAAACAAGGTTAGGAGAAATCTTCTTTTCGTCCTTTGTTTGAAACCAATATATTGTATTGAACTTTTGATTGCAAGATAAAAAGGAGTAGATATTATTAATCCCATTTAAGCATAGTTTAACTTGTTAAGATATAATAAATAGATCAACCATCAAAATATCGTGGATTCGAATCCCCACCCCACGTGTTATTGTATTAATAAATAAATGTTGCTGTACTAAAAGTAATCATATACTAATTAAAGATAAAAGAGAAATGTTTAGCTCCTGAAAATCTCCTCACCCGGCATGACCAATCTTGACTTATCATTAAATGTTTGACAACTAAGAGAAAAAATAAAAAAACAAAGACTTTTCTTAAAAGAAAATGATGGAACTTTCCTTTTTCAATCTTGTTCTGAGGAATGAGGAGTTATGGAGTGTTCATGAGTTGGATTGGATTAGGTTCAAATACTTTTTTGACCCAATCCAATTGTTCGRGTTGTAAATTTATTCAACCCAAACAACCCTTATTAAATGAGAAATCCAACCCAACTTAACCAAATCATGAAATATTTTGATTGAGTTATTTTGGGTCATTCGGGTTACTTATTCAAATTATTGTATAATAAAAAAAAAGTAAATGATAAGATGTTAAATATTTATTTATATATTGTCTAACTTTGAATCAAGAGTCGCACGTCCGATTTTTATTTATACGGTGAAAAAGGTATACTAAAAGTGGTTGATCTAAAAGAGTAAAGTTTAAATATAACGTGAATAAAATAAAAAATTTTAAAAATAAGGTAGATTTGAAAATTTCTTAAAACGCAGCAAAATTCCACGCGGAAAATTAATTACACATGTTCCGAACTTCGTTTTAAAAAATTCAAATAAATTGGATAATAAACTTGTGAACCTTAAATAAGATTATTATTATTTTTTCTTTTTTTGAAAAATCAAGTAAGATTATTATACCTCAAACCAATAGAATTATATTTCATGTTCATGTCTAACTAGCTAGCTATGCATTCAACTTTCTAGCCATCACCTTCTCAGGTTGAAAATTACTTACTTAAACCTATGCGATCAACATTTAAATATTGAAATGTTTCATGACTGAAATTTTGATTTGAGAGATTTTGATCCAAGATTCAAAGGATACATACATATATAAATATATTTTTCATGTTCAGGTATTACCTTTATTGAGTAAGAATTAATAATCAATATAATTCACCTATATACAAGGATAAAGAATGTATCTAATATATTATATGAGATTAACATATTTTTTAGTTTTCACGTACTCGAATTTTGTACTCTCTATTATCTTGTTCCCAACAWYTGTAAAGTCTCACATCTTCGGATCAAGATTTGGAATCTAAATTAGGCACCTAGAGTGGTCATGATATTTCCTGTATGACATGGCCGTGTTATATCTATTAATATTCATGAATGTTCATCTTAAAGCCAATTGACAATGAGAGAAGTAGCTCATATCTATTATAAACCATTGTAAGGTTCATTTTCATAGTATCAGAACCCAAAATGCTCAAAYGAGCAACCGATCAAAAAATGGGATCTGACCAAGATTGATGAGCCAAAAAAAGCTATGATCTTGAGGCGGCATGTTAAGGATCCCACATTGAAAAGAAAAGTCACATGAACTACTCTTCTCATTGCCAATTGGTTATAAGATGGAACCTCATGAATATTAATAATACAAACTTAACTTAAGTTATACTTTTGAGAGTGAAGACAATATATATCCTTTCARTATGTTTTGTGTTCATTCTCTCTTGTTTCTTAGGAAAATATTCTATGGGTTTTATCCGACCTAGGATTGCTCTAAGTCGAGCACGGTTAATTTTAAATTAGTTTTTATGATCAAGTCATCGAAGAAGAAGGTATACCTTATTTATATAGATAATCAAATTTTCTAAATATTTCTTAACAATATATTTCCATTGATTCTCAAAATCCATCACTCATATATCACAACAATCTTATTCTCCATGCATGTCATATATATATATATATATATATATATATATTCCATGTTTCCTCATTTCCACGAAGTAAACCCTATAAAGTCAAAGTCAAACTGTTGAATATATCAATATTCTCAAAAATAATCTTAATACTATATTTTTCCTCAAAGAACAAACATTTTGTTCCTTAGTTTATGACCAAGTAAAACCAATATTTGATTGGTCAACAAATTACCTTAACTTACAAGTTTCTACCTCTCAAATTTCCCAAGTCAACTGATCTCACCAGAAGTTTTATTTATTTATTTATTATAAAAAATGAGACTGAAAAACAGGGTTGGATCCACGGATAGTTTACAGTATTTCGAGACATTTAGAATTATTACTAAACAATAGATTCAAAGTTTTAAAATTTAAAAAATATGCATTAGCACAACAGATTAAGGGTGTCCGCGTGGATTCTTGCAATTATTTTTGTTTAAAAATTTCTAGTTATYATATATAGGAAAAATATATTTTTATACTTTTAATCTCCAAAGTTTAAGAAATAATTTTAAATAATACTTGAAAGAGCTCTGATAGTTAAATATTTATTGGACTATGATTACGTGGTAATTTTAAATTAGATGGTAAAAATATGTTAATTTTATATTATATTGGATTGATTCGACGGTTGAAATGGGATTAAATTATCTTCTCTCTTCTCCTTCTTCTCTCTGTACTCCTTCCTTCTTCTCCGGCGGACCTTGCCAATACCGTCCGACGACTCTCGCTTTGTCGATGCTGCCACCAACTGCTATCRACATCCACCGACAGACCGTTTCAGATATGGAGTTTGCTCCAGATCTGAAAGCTTCGAAGTCAAATATGGAACGAACGTTTAGCTGGTGACGTGGTAAACGACAAGTTGGCCGTCGGTGTAATTGGTGTTGGCGACGACGGCGTCGACGACGCTGGTGGTAAAATTGACCTGAGACCCAGAAGTGGTGACATTCAGGGGAAACTGGCGGGCGTTGCTGTTTCCGGCCTGGGTACGAAGAGGGTTGCTGACGGAATGAAATTGGGACATGGAAACGAAATTGGGGAGCACATGGAACTGAACCAGCTGAACTTTTTGCTGATCGGAGAGGGAATTGAGAGTTCCAGGTTTCAGATTGGCGAAGGCGTTGTCTGGAGGAGTAAACAGAGTGAGGCCCTGCCCTTGGTTGGAATTGTTGAGCTGATTATTGATTTGGTCGCTCTGTTGTACGCTTTTGAGGAGTTTATTGAAGGTTGTGAACTGGTCGGCCTTTACGAGGATGACCGTGATGTTGGTCGGACCGGCGGGGCCCGGCGGTTGAGTCGACAGAGCAGAAACAAAGGAACAGAGGAAGGCCAGAAAGGAGGGAATGGGGAGGAGCTTCTTCATGATTGGTTTTGATTTTGTTTTTGAGCCATCGGAGGGAGAGGAGAACGGAATCTAATAAGAATGATAATTTGAAGGAATTGAATTGGTTTGGTGGGAGGGAAGAGAGGGGATTTTGCTCGAGGAAGCAGAAAAAACAGAGCAGAAAGTGAAGGATGAAAGGTGGGGTTTTTGGTTTGGTGGGGATTGAAAAGTGCAAACATTTTGGTTTTGCACCTGATAAGTGCAAGGTCTGCCGGAGAAGAAGGAGGAAGGAGGGAAGAGAGAAAAAAAAAGGAGAACGGAGAAGATAATATAAAATGTATTTTTGCCAAACGGTCAAATCAACCTAACATAATGTAAAATTAATATATTTTTACCATCTAATTTAAAATTATCACATAATCATACTCGCGTAAATATTTAACTGACACATAAACATTCTGTTAGGTCAACGATCAAAGGGTTTCAAGGACCATTTATAATCATTTCTTAAACTTTAGAGATTAAAAGTGTTCATTTTGATACTTTAGGAATCAAAAGTATATTTTCTCCCATATATAAATATTATTCAAAAAATATAATTATTTTTATTCRTTTAAAAATAGATAAAAATAAATTTCATTTTATATAAATATAAATATGTGAATTTTTACAATATATGTATATATATTATTTTTATTCATAGTAAAAAATTCTTTATATAAATATGTTAATTTTTTTTTTAAAAAAAAGAAAAGATATAAGTTGCCATTATATATAGGTCATTTTTTTTTCTATAAATTATTGTATCGATTTCTTTTTCTTTACAAATTATAAAATTTTTTAGATTCAATTGTTTTTTTATATAATTTTTAAAAGGGAGAAAAATGAAAGTAAAAGAAAAAAACTTTAGAACACCAAAAAAACACAACTATTTGAAAGACTATGGGCCGCGGCTGACCCATGATTGATTTTGCATTTCTCACATTCCCCAAATCCATCAACCTTAATATTGTCAATGTCAACCAAATTGGATAAGATAATTATGTAGAATATTTTTAAAATGTATATATATATATATTATTTTATGAGTTAATTTCGAAAGGACCAACCGATCGAACTGATACTGCTCTGTAGAAATTTCCCCATTAAAATTCTGCCATCTAGCACTTTATAAAATTGATAAACTTTATACACACCCGTTTTTTTCTCAAGTAGACTATGTTCATGTACGAGCCTCTAACCATTGAACAAACCCCTATTCCCATTGCGTTTTGCACGAAAAATGTCAGGTCAGAACTAAAACAGAAGGTCAAAAATTGTGTACAAAGGAAAACCAAAACTTTCAAAACTTTCAAAGACTGAACTATTTGGGCTTACTTCAAACTTACCTATATAACGCAGGCGGCGCTGCACCTAATTTTCATAGAGATGGTTCGAGCAGCGTACATCGTGTCGCCCATTCTTGGGGTTTTTATTATTTCTTTTGTGATATTTCTATTGTGTTTGGTTTGCGGGAGGAAAGTTTCTAAGGAAAAAGCTACGAGTCGAAGTCGAAGTTATGTTGAAGATAGAAATCGAATTGGGATAGTTGTGGATGATGGGATCATCAGCAATATGGGAACAAGCAGCACGTTTTCGGGTGGTAATGGAGATGGGTATAGTGGTTGGGGTTGGGATTGGACTTTTAGTGGTGCAGGAGATACCTGCAACGACGGAGGAGGAGGCTGTGATGTCGGAGGTGGCGGTGGAGGTGATGGAGGCAATGATAATGGTGGAGGAGGAAATGGTGGTCTTAG